GGAAAAGACCACGGCGGGTCTTATGGTGGCTCTCTCCAGTATATATGAGAAGCTATCGGCCTCAAACAAAGTTCACTTGATGAGGCGATTATTCAATTTGCGGATGGCGGAAGGGGCATCAGTGTCTCAACACCTAAATGAACTCAACACAATCACAACCCAGTTGAGTTTCATGGAAATTGAATTCGAAGATGAAGTTCGAGCTTTAATTCTCTTATCATCTCTACTAGACAGTTGGAATGTTATTGTTACAGCAGTCAGCATTTCGTCAGAAAACAATAAATTGAAATTTGACAATGTTCGGGATCTGGTATTGAGTGAAGAAATTCGACGGAGAGAATTGAGTGAAGCATCAAGCTCCTCAGCCTTGCACACGGAGTCTAGAGGGAGAACTTCAGAAAGAAATTCAAATCGTGGCAGATCGAAATCCAGAATGGGAAAATCAAGAATGAGAAAGAAAGATTTTACCTGTTATAATTGCGGCAAGAAGGGTCACTTTAAAAGAGATTACTGAGCACCGAAGAAAGATATCGATGCATCTGCCAACGTAACAGAAGAAACAGGTGATGTCATGATTCTAAGCGCCAACAGTCCGATTGAATCGTGGATCTTGGATTCAAGGGCATCTTTCCACTCTACTCCATGCCAAGAAATCATGGAGAACTATGTCATTGGTGATTTTGGGAATGTTCATCTAGCTGATAATGAAACCTTGAAGATCGTCGGAAAAAGGAGACATCCGATTAAAGTTGCCCAACCAGACCACCTGGAAACTGAAAGGAGTGAGACATATTCCTGGCCTCAAAAGAAATTTGATTTCTGTAGGACAGCTTGATGGAGAAGGATATAGTACAACCTTTTCAGGCTGTGAATGGAAGATTACCAAAGAAGAACTCGTCATTGCTCGTGGTAAGAAGACTAGTACTCTCTATGTAACCTCAAATTTAGAGAATGTCATTGCAGTAGCAGATGCTGATAGAAAATCAAACATTTGGCACCAAAGCTTTGGCCATATGAGCGAGAAAGGAATGAAGACACTTTTGTCAAAAGGGAAGCTGTCGGATCTAAAGAATATAAATGTCGGACTATGTAAAGATTGCATCTTTGGTAAACAAAAGAAAGTCAATTTTGAAAAGATTGGCAAGACAACCAAGGCAGAAAAGTTAGAGTTGGTTTATACTGATTTATGGGGACCATCTCCAGTTCCATCTCTTGCAATCTCACTATATTATGTCACCTTCATCGATGATTCTACAAGGAAAGTGTGGGTCTATTTTCTGAAGAAGAAATCAGAAGTCTTTGATACCTTCAGAAAATGGAAGGCCATGGTGGAAAATGAGACTGGTTTGAAAGTCAAGCGGTTGAGGTCTGATAATGGAGGAGAGTATATAAATAGTAGATTCATAGATTTCTGCGCAAGCAATGGGATCAAGATGGAGACAACAGTTCCCATGACACCGCAACAGAATGGCGTAGCAGAGCGTATGAACAGAACTCTGAATGAACGTGCCAAAAGCATGAGGATACATGTCGGCTTGCCCAAATTGTTGTGGGCTGAAGCTATCAACACTGCAGTTTAGCTGATCAATCGTGGGCCCTCAGTTCCCTTGGATGGTGGAATACCAAACGAATTTTGGAGCAAGAAAGAAATAAACATTTCACACTTAAGAGTTTTTGGTTGTATTTCTTATGTACACATAAATTTTGCTGAAAGAAGTAAACTTGATGCCAAATAAAACAAATGTGTCTTTGTTGGTTATGGTGGTGATGAGTTCGGTTATCGGTTTTAGGACTATGAAAATCGGAAGATCATCAGAAGCAGAGATGTCATTTTCAATGAGAATGTGATGTACAAAGACAGTTCAACTATAGAATCAAGTAGCTCAAATACCGAAGCTGAAACAAAGGAATTTACTGAGTTTGAGGAGATTTCTGGAAATGATGTTCAGATCAGTCCTGAAGCAGTTCAAGAAGAACCAGACACACCAGAACTGAGACGCTCCTCCAAAATTCCTAAACCAACCCAGCATTATTCGCCTTCTTTGCACTACTTGTTGCTGACTGACAATGGTGAACCAGAGTGCTATGATGAAACAATGCAGGTGGAAGATTCAGTCAAGTGAGAGTCTTCCATGAAAGATGAGATGGACTCGCTTATGTCAAATCAGACGTGTAAATTAGCTGAATTACCACCAGACAAGAAAGCGCCCCATAATAAGGATTTACAAGATTAAATAAGAGCACGATGGGGCAAATGCTACAAAGCAAGATTGGTTGTCAAAGGTTTTCAGCAAAAAGAAGGTATTGACTATAATGAAATTTTCTCTCCAGTCGTGAAGCTGTCTACAATCAGACTAGTGTTGAAAATTGTAGCTGCAGATAATCTACATCTTGAGCAGATAGATTTGAAGACAACTTTCCTTCATGGTAATTTGGAGGAAGAAATCTATATAAGGTAGCCAGAATACTTCATAGAGGTAGGCAAGAAAAACCTGGTATGCAGGTTGAACAATAGCTTGTATGGTTTAAAACAAGCTCCTAGACAGTTGTACAAGAAGTTTGATAGCTTCATGGGTAGCAGTGGTTTTACCAGATGTCAAGCAGATCATTGTTGCTACATCAATAAGTTCGACAGCAACTTAATTATTTTATTGTTGTACGTTGATGACATGCTCGTTGTAGGCTCAAACATGCAATAGATTATAAACTTGAAGCAAAAATTGTCGAAGCAGTTTGCAATGAAAGATCTGGGCGCTGCAAAACAGATTCTTGGGATGAGGATTAAGAGAGACACAAAGTCGGGGACTTTGATGTTATCACAGGCTGAGTACATTAACAAAGTACTCTCCAGGTTCAACATGCAAGATGCTAAACCAGTAAGTACACCTTTAGGTGTTCATTTTAGACTCTCCAAAGAACAGTCACCAAAGATGGGGAAAGAACGTGCATACATGGTAAATGTGTTGTATGCCTCAACAATTGGAAGTATGATGTATGCTATGGTTTGTACTAGACCAGATATTGCTCATGCAGTGATAGCTGTTAGCATATATATGAATAATCAGGGCAAGGTACATTGGGAAGCAGTAAAATGGATCCTTATATATCTACGGGGTACCGTAAACAAAGTACTTTGTTTCAAAGGTAGAGATACGATATTGACAGGCTATGTAGATGCTGACTTAGCCGGAAATGTTAACATCAAAATGAGCACTACAGGGTATGTCTATACTCTAGGAGGTACTGCAGTGAGTTGAGTTTCTCAACTACAGAAGATAGTTGCTCTCTCCACAACTGAAGTAGAATATACCGTTGTTACGGAAGCCAACAAGAAAATGGTTTGGCTCCAAAGTTTCTTGGAAGAGTTAGGCAAGAAACAAGAAAATAATGTCTTGTATTGCGATAGTCAAAGTGCTATCCATCTAGCGAAGAATCCGTCTTTTCATTCCAGGACGAAACACATACAATTGCGATATCATTTTATCCGGTCTCTTCTGGAAGATGGGATTTTAAAACTTGAAAAGATTAGTGGAGCTCAAAATCCGACAGATATGTTAACAAATACGGTGACTACAGACAAACTGAAGTTGTGTTCAGCTTCAGTTGGCATGCTAGAGTAACATGACCAGAAATGTGTGTTGCATTGATCGAGGTGTAAAGACATATTAAAATCAGTCTTCAAGTGGAAGATTGTAAAGTCAATAAGTGCGTCTGAATAAAATGAGGGCACCGCACAATGGTTTTTCAACAAAGGGGGCACCGAATTCGGTGCCTGATTTTATTGATTTTTTTTGCAAGGGATAATTGAAATTTTGTCCCTACACTTTAGGGTATTTACAAGATTTGTCCTTAAGCTTCAACTATAAATACCATATCCCATTTAGCTTCAAAATTATCCCAAATCATTTCTTTCTCCCAATACTAAAGAGTTTAGAGAGTTCTCTTGTGAGTTGTGAGTCTTTTGTAAACACCTGTAAATTTTCTCTCTTTAGTAAAAGATCTGCAACAGTCCGGAGACGTAAGCATAATTGGATGAACTCCGTTATCAAATTTCGGGTATTATTTTTTCGCTTTTATTTCACATTCTCACTAATCTGGTTATAGAGAAATTACTCATTTATTTCCCAACACAAGCCCTTGACTGATTGGCTGTAATCACTTGAAGAAAAACTCTCCCATTTTCTTAATGCATTCTGATGCAATGTATTATTGTTATTGATCAAAAATGGGTTGTCCTAATTTCATTTTTGGCATATCTCCTCTGGTTCAATAGTTTGGGATATGTACCTAAATATCGATTACTTCTTCAAATCATAAGGGGATTGCATTGCAAGATGGTAGGTCTTTCGGCAAATGGTAGGGAATTTATCGGTGTAAGACAGTCCATGTGATACTTGAGTGCTTTTTCTAATTGAGTTTTCCGCAACATCTTAGCAAAGTTCAAAATCTTAAATTCTGTATTTCAAAGATTGTTTTGGAGTAATCAACAGGGGTTGGTTTGAGTGGTAAGTAATTTGATAACGCTTAAATAAGATCTCGAGTTTGAGACCTTGTGCATATAAAAAATTTCTATTAAGAGATTCACCAATCAAAGCCAGTGTCCGATATGAGTCAGTCTGCCTTAGTTAAGACAAAACCTTAAAATCAGGAGGAAAAAATTACTTTGGAGGCAATTAAGAATGAATAGAGAGAAACAGTATGAAAAGTCGATCTTAAAAAATTGAAATATCATATATTTTAAATATTTTTTTATATTTTTATTAATAAATAATTTTCATTCTTAAAATTTTATATATTCCTTCCTTTCTAAAATTTTTAAATTTTATACATTAACATTAAATTTTGCATGAATCTATGAAGACAATCTAATCAAAATATAGAGTATCTGTTAATGAAAGAGAAAAAAATTCAAGAAGGAAAAAGTATGTATAAATTTTCTCTCTTTAGTTTTTAGTTGAAATTGATTTTAGGCCATAAAAGGTACTTTGGGGTTGGCCCAAACCTTAAAACCTTAACTAAGGCATGGATATATTTGTTTAGATTTTAGGGTTTCTTCCCTTGTGGAACCATTTGTAGCTGCCGCAGTTTCTCCTCGCCCCCATCACACCGAACCTCTCCCTTCAACGAAAATGGTTGCCGCCAAGAAGACCGTAAGATCGCATTCTCGTTTCTTTTCTTTTGAATTTCCTACACGTATTTGTTAGTAAATTTCTGAAAATGTGTTAGCTAATGGATATAATGGAGTGCTTGATGAAATGCAGAAGAAGACTCATGAGAGCATTAACAACAGGTTGGCTCTCGTTATGAAGAGTGGAAAATACACTTTAGGTTATAAAACTGTCCTCAAATCTCTTAGAAGCTCCAAAGGTATTGGACAATTCTGCACATTGAATTAAGATTTCTAAAATTTCGATCTATCTGATTCATGATTGACTATTTCTGGCGTTTTAAGTTTCTTAGTTTAGATGAAAATTATGGTACTCTTTTATTTTTATTGTTTTGGATGATGAATTTAAGTTGAATGAATTTCATCTTGATTAAAATAGTGTTTAACTAGGATAAGGGCATGAGGATGTTTAGTAGATTTTGTTTTATATAGGACTGTTGCATTTCTGATGCCGATCTAATGTTGATCGATTCAGCATTGGAAGACTGATATTGATATATAAATTGTAATGTTTTATAGGTAAGTTGATTATTATTGCCAACAACTGCCCTCCTCTTAGGAAGTCGGAGATCGAGTATTATGCCATGTTGTGCAAGGTTGGAGTTCACCACTACAATGGAAGTATGTTCTTTAACCTATCTTGCTCTTGTTACATACTTTAAAACGTATTTTTGTGCCATGATTTGAGTACTTGTATGTTGGATTAACTCCTGTATCACATGGAATTAATAGATTATCAATAAGATTAGCTGATTAGTTCAGCTATGTTAATCCGGTATTAATACCATTATCAGTAACTTCATCCGTGTGTGACATGCACCTTCCACAATATTGAATAACATAAACTCATTTCCCTTGCTTCCTTCCATTCTTTAGTTTTTACTCATAATCTTGTATTTGAAGATATTTGTGAAAATGGTAGAATCATTATGTCAAAGCCCCTAATGAAGTGATTGATGTTAGTCCATTACTTGTGTTCTTTATCTCTGTAATATCTTAACTACCTTAGTCATCAATCTTATGTTTCATAAGTAATGCCAGATTGCCTGTTGGTGAACCAATGGACAATGAAGTGATAACTTTGCTGTTTGAAGTTTTCTAGTAATTCAACACTGGATTTAAAGAGTATTCCCCAATTTGAGTAAATGCTGGGTTTCTTTTTTTGGCAGACAATGTAGACTTGGGCACCGCTTGCGGAAAATATTTCAGAGTGTGCTGCCTTAGCATTGTTGATCCTGGTATTTATACGAGCGCTGAATACATTTTTTTATTTACCTATACATCTGTGTAAAGTTCTGATCGCTGTAACTATCTTTTATGTTTTACAGGTGACTCTGATATCATAAAGAGTATGCCCGGCGATAACTAAGCTATCGGGGGAAACTTATCTTCCCAGGTTTTGTTCTGATAGTTTCTATTTTTGGGTATCTGGAAATCGTTGATGTCGAAGAACTTATTCTGAAATTCAGAACTTTCTTTGTAGTGTTTTATCTGGGACAGTGATGTCATAAGCCCGTGTATTAGTTTTTTTTAGTGGAGTTCGTTTAAAATAGTCTCTTTATATTATATATTTTTAGTAGATTCTTAGTACTGCTTTGGAGAAATTAAGAAGTTTATTTTTTTATTAAAAATTCATTTAGCATTTAAGAATGATATTATTATATCTATTAAATTTGAATTTTTTTAAGAAAAATAGTAAAAAATTAGAAAATTCTTTAAATGTTTCCTTTATTTTTTTTTTATAACTTTTCATATTTAATACCGTATTATGTGCCATTAGGATTTTAAATTATGTGCCATGATTAAAAAAAATCAGATATTAATTTAAACAAAAAAAATTAGATGTCGAAGTTCGAAAAGATGCAATTTTAAAATGTAAAATATTATTAAATTTTATACTATATTATGTACATTACAAAATAAAAATGTATAAAGTATTGTCAATATTTTGTAAGTGGAAGTTCATAAAATAAAATGAAGACAGAATCATATTTTTGAATATGAAAAGTTCAAGGATTTGAAGGGAAGAAAACAGTAAAAGAACTTAAGAAGCGAAGAAGACAATGGTGAAGAACATTGACACAAAATTAATTTTAAAAATGTGTATGAATAATAGAAGGGTAAACTATACGAATAGTCTCTTTTATTTTTTGGTCCGATTGAATTTGATGGTTGATTCAAAAATTAAATGTGTTTGGTCCACTAAGTTATAGGTTTATCTGATTTAAGTCCTTCAACTACTAACTCATTAACGAACGAAAGTCTTAGTTGATCGGTCCATCTTACAATTTACAAGAATCTAGCTAATTAAGCTTCACCTGACAATGTAGCGAAAGGGAGGGTTAAGGCGTTGTTTACAAGAATCGAGCTAATTATTTTTATTAAATATAATCAAATATTTATAAAATCATTTGGCCAATATATTTAAATAACAATTTAAGAAGTATGCTTAGACTGACATAAAAGCTATATTAAAAAAATTAATTATGTACGTAAAAGATTCAAACATCTTATGATGCTCAAAATTGGTTACCTCCGAATAGGTATGAAGAAAAAATATTGGCGAAGGGTGATGCCTATCATACTGAAATTTGATTATTGGGAGAAAGTCAAAGTGAGACAACATGCCAAGCACGCAAAACATGGAACGAAAGTCCTCATGTAATCGCCAACCAGAAATGTAGTGAAAAGGAGGGTTAAGGCGTTGATTAGACTCATCTGCCAAACTAAGCAAGATGGGGCGATAATTAGACTTCATACGGCTGAGATGCTCTAAAGCCAATAGCGGGAAAGATTCAAACCAGTATGAGTTACCCAAGCAACGATCAAGACGAACAGCACAGGAACTTCTGAACCAAGTAAAGCGCGGGCCAAAGTATCCCAAATCATGCAGGCAACAATCAGAAATCATCTCACTGAAAGCAGAATTGACAGAGGAGGAAAGAGCACAACCATTATGATCTTCCGAGCAAAAAGTTGCATTAAAGTCCCCCATTACTATCCAAGGCTCAGAGATAGAGGATGCAAGAGCTCGCAAATAATACCAACAATTATTCCTTTTTTGTTGAATTTGGGCTTGCATAAACAAAAGTCGCTAGGAAAGATTTTCGATCAGGATTCAGGAGTACGCTTGTCAGAAAAACGACAATGAACAAGCTGAAAATGAGAGGAAAAAAAATTTATTCTGCATGTTATCATACCAACATAGCCAAATGCCGCCAGCAAAACCCACCGCTGTCACTTTGTAGGAATTCGGGAAACCCAAGCGAGCAATAATATTATCAGTGGTAGTTCGACTAATTCTGGTTTCAACAAACACACATAAATCCGGCTTATTATCGCGAACATACTGTCGAATGACCCGAATAAAATTGCGGCTGCCACAGCCCTGAGTATTCCAAACAAAGATTTTAAAATCCATAAATAAAAAGTTTGAAAGAGAGAGCCGAGCCAGGTAATTATTCAACCATAGCAATAGAAGCATCCGCAATAACTGTATCTGCCATAGCAACCTGATTATCATGAGTAACAGGAGGGTTGAGAGCTTGATTGGTGATAATGATTGAACTGTTCAGCCTATCAGGAGGCTCGGGAGGAGAGCTGAAACAGTAGTGCTTGAGTTGTCGCCAGCAGCCAAGTTCGAAAGTGGGAAGGTGGTAGGTTGAGCGTCGGGAACCGGTGGCATGGCATCCGGATCAATGGTAACTGCCACGTGAGTCGTTGGATCCAAACGAGGTGGCTGGTTACGGCTTCCTGAGGCTACATTCGGGTGGGAGACTTGTTTTGCCGGGAAATTTGACGAAGCAGTGGTCGAGGTTTTCTGCCCTAGGATGGTAACAGTTTGTTTTCGGCTTAGGACGGGGGGCTTTGGCTTTTTGTCTCATAATATTAGGGCTGAAGTTTTCTTTGTTGGATGTGACAGCATACTTCATCTTTTGGTGTGGTTCGGAGGAAGGTTACGAGTGTCAACAGTCTTTGCAGGAGTTGGACCATTAGGGTTGTCTTGGCCATTGATCTCTGAGTCAGTGAAAGATGAAAAACGGGAAGCACGACTCACAGCACCAGACTTAGACGGGTGGCTCCTTGAATCTTTACGGATTAGTTTACGCTGTTTCCTTCCAACAAGCATCCAGGGGCCAAACTGCTGCTGGGGTGAGGTATTCGACGGAGAGGATGGAGCAGCCTCAGTCGGGGAATTACTTGCAGTGGCAGTATTAGATTTTTTCGGGCAAAGTTCACTGGTATGGCCGTAAACACCACAATGAAAACAAACCACTGGAAGGGATTCGTATTCAACAATTTGCGTTCGACCACAGATTTAAAGTTTGGAGATCAGAGGCTTCGTCAGATTTATTGTAATTGCCATGCGAGCAAAACGGCCTCTTCGGCCACTATCCATTTTATAATCAATTTTCACGACTAGACCGATACGTTCTCCGATCGCTTAAATCATACTTCGCTTGTACCTTGTTATTGGGAGTCCGGGCAATCTCACCCACGTCATGATACGACTCGGGTGAGATTGGGAAGGATTAAAACCATCCGACCATGGTTCCGCCGTTAAATAATGTCCAAAGATCACCCACAGACCATCGGCAAGGGCATGGAGGAAATCACTACGAGCGGCGAACTTTACCAGTAAGTAGTCGTTCTCTATATCGATCAGTTTAATTAATGGGGTGGACAGGCTTCCAGAGCGATTGGATTCGGTTGAGGTGGGGATTATATTCGATTCGACGACCAAGGAGTTTAACCACTAGCGTGAGTTTCAAACTTTTGAGGGTAAGATTATAAACCTGGTCCGAGAAGTTGATAAACGGAATGCCGTCCGTTTCACCAACATGCACATCAGTTTCCAGAAGTTCAATATCGTCATCATCATTAAGGGAAACAAGATCTTCAGGGGGCGCTTCTACGTGAGCACCGATCACCATGTCACGGTTGGAGGCTGGGGTTTGCAAAGCGTGGGAATTATCAATCTCCATGTAAGAGCGAAGACTGGCTGGGGGGTCGGCTGGGCCGTCCGACGGCCGTTTTGGAAGTTGACGTTCATCAGGGGGTCGGGTGGGAGAGACATCCAGGGTTTTTCAACTACTATTTTTCTTGGAATAAGATTTTCGCATTATAATTATCTCGGCCTGCAATAATTTTCTATAACCGACACCAGCTTCAACCTGTAATCTACACTGAAATTCTTAACGTTAATTAGTAGCAATAGCTTTCTTTGCATAAGATTTTATATTATGAGGAATTGATTCAAGTTAGGGAAAATTAACAAGAAAAGTGTTCTATGTGCGTGTGAGAATTCTGTAGTCCTTGTTTGTGTTTCACACGAGATATTTTGAATGTCGATAATCTACCGGTATACAAAAGTTCTGGTTAATCAGACAAGTTATTGTATGGATGGCTTAGTTTGCTATAATCCTATAACTCAGATTTTACTTGGATGGCTAACTTAAGCCGACATTGGGTTTGCAGCACTATAGCTGTGATGACCTCGCTGGTGGCTTTATCCTTCTATGGTGCTAGCCAGCTCAAGTTTCGTTGGGTGGAGCGATATGAAGTTCTCGTGGGTTCGGTGCTATGCTTGGTTGGAATCTTAACACTCATTTTTCACGATCATGATGGAGACGAAGGCTTGCATGGACATAACGTGCACAGGAAAATCGTTGGTCTTTGAGGACTGCAACATCCTGCGAGCATATATTTTGGTTAGAGGATCCCATCATCCACTTTAAACTGTTCGTTGTGCCATAAGTCGATTGCAAGATTGTTCTCTTCTTGCTAGCCAGTCCTGCCTGTATTTATGGTATTGTCACTTTGCCAGCAATGGTCGATGTTGTTTTGTTCTTAATTGATCACTTACATAGATCACTGTTTCTCAGATTATATATGTTTTCTCCAAATAACCTCACTTTATATGTGAAGTCCTAAAGCAAGATTTACGGCGAATTTCATTGTCATTTAAAGAAAAAAAAATCAACGAAGGGACGCGGTTTCTTCTGCTCGTCACTTTTGTCTGGAAGTGCCGTAGCTATGGTATCCAATGAAAAACACACCCTCCCTCCAGGGGCATTTAAACAGGCTCGGCTGATGGTGCTCATTTTCCATCAAGGGATGTCATTGTCTGTTAGAGAGAGTCAAAAAGCCCATTGAACCACTTCGGCAAAGTGAAATAATTGAGCGACCAACTTTCCAATCATGGGAAGAAAGGTTAATTATTTATGAATTGGAATGGGGTTTTTTTTGTAAATTAATTGCTAAAATCAGAATAAGAAGAAAGTAGTAATAAATATATAGATCATTAATGGTGGATCAAAGTTAAATGGAAGATTCTGAGGTGAAAGCTAGCAAAGAGAGTAATAAAATATTTCAACCTGCATAAAGTAAAGCAGTCTTGGGATTAATCAAAAACTCGGACCAGCTATTAGTTCATTAATTCATTGCATGTTACTATGTTTTATTCAATGAAATAATGATCAGATTTTAATAACTAGTCAACCCAGAAGCACAAATCATTGCTTTGTTTTCTTACTTCTTTAGAATTCTTCATTAAATGTGTCTGCAATTTACGACCACATTAAAAACCAGACCACCTAACCCACTCTCACACTCACTCTTTAACATGGGTTTTACTCCCTCGTTCTCTGGTCTTTCCCTGCATCTTTGACCTTCTCTTTACTGAATATAACTTCCCATCTTAATACATTTTGCTGTACTTTCTTTGCAACTTCCTAAGCCACTTCAGGTGCAAGATTCTCACTTTAAGGCTTTTAGCTACCCTTTTCCTACGGTTTCTATCTTCTTTCCTTGTTGTCAAGCATTTTCTTCTCGCCTGCCTGAGCCTCTCACTCTCGGTCTCAGTTCTTTCGTGTGGTGTTAGACTCTTTTTATGATATATCTGGCGCTTTTGAGCTTGTTTCACTTGATTTGGGTTTCAGTTTATCTCAAAGGACATGGGCTTTGAAGCTCATTCATTGGCCCCTTAGATTAGTGCAAAAAGGAAGCATCTTTGGCTTTTGTAAGTATCCCATTGTTGAATTAGTTGAATTCTTTCAGTCTTAAACTACACATTTGTTTAGTCATTTTAGCTCATTTCAGCTTTGCAGCTTGTTGTAGAAAATTCTCTATAGCTCCTGTTCCATTCTGATATATTCACTGAGATTTGTGGGGGTGGAGGTTTGGGGGCTTTGTTTGAAGGAATGCAGAGATTCAATTTTGTATTTTTGTTGTTTCTGGTACCGATTGCATTAGCCCAATCTGATTTTGAAGCACTTTTAGAGCTCAATAAAGGCATTGAGAAAGACCCTTCTGGTAAAATTCTTGATTCATGGGACTCTAAGTCCTTGGCATCTGATGGGTGTCCCAAGAATTGGTTTGGCATCACCTGTAATGAAGGCCATGTAACTTCAATCACTCTAAATGACTTGGGTTTGGTTGGGAACTTCAGTTTCCCTGTCATTGCTGGTCTTAAGTTGCTTAGAAATTTATCCATTTCAAGCAACCAGTTGACAGGGACCATCTCGAACATCGGCTCTATTCGGTCTCTAGAGTTTTTGGACCTCTCGGTTAATGCCTTTCATGGGGTTATACCATCAGGTATTGCCAATTTAAAAGATTTGGTTCTTCTGAATCTTTCTTCAAATAGTTTCGAAGGCGCATTTCCCTCTGGTTTTAGCAACCTTAAGAGGTTGGCATATTTAGATTTACGATCTAATGGCTTTTCTGGGGATATCATGAATCTTTTATCCCAATTGGAAAGTGTGGTTCATGTGGACTTGAGCAACAATCAGTTATCTGGTTCACTGGACTTGGGGCTTGGAAGCTCCAGTTTTGTTTCTTCCATTCAGTATCTAAATATAAGCCGGAATTTGGTGGTTGGAGAACTCTTTGCTCATGATGGAATGCCATATTTCGACAGTTTAGAAGTTTTGGATGCTAGTAATAATCAGTTAGTGGGAACTATACCTTCTTTCAATTTTATAGTATCTTTGCGGATACTTCGGCTTGGGAACAACCGGTTGTCAGGATCACTACCAGAAGCACTTTTGCAAGAAAGCTCCATGATCTTATCCGAACTCGATCTCAGCCTTAATCAACTTGAAGGTATTTTCTCTTTATTTCATAACTTAAGTGAACAACTGTATCTGTCAATATATTGCGCTATTCAATCCTATTTTGCTTTATATCATAAATTTTACCCTGTCTTGCTAATTAAGTACTGTGCATTGCAATGACATTCTTGGAGCGTCACATTATGCCTCTGTACCTATAGCATTTGCTTCTTTTCTTCCAGCTTTCGGAAAACATCATGGTCTCCATATCTTGAACTAAACTGAGATAGAAAATAAATGTTTTCGTTTTCTGGTTTCAAAAAACCGCAAACAAGTTTGTCTTGTATCATTTGAGAGATGATCAAACTAACATGGTAGCTATGCAACATGACAATAAGTTGCAATAATTGTTTCAAAATAGTATCACACCTTGACCTTAAATGTAGTTAAATTCACATGTATGGTATGTTCAATTAGTAGGTCCTTTCTAGCGATGCCGGATGTGTAGTTCACTGTCAATTCTTCAAGGTTTCGTATGCTGATTATTTTTGGTTCCAGTATATCATACTTTCAAACAATTTTTTGTTAATAAAGTTTTTCTTCGTGAATTCACATCCATGCAGGGCCAGTAGGAAGTATAACCTCATCAGCTCTAAAGAAGCTCAACATTTCATCAAACAAACTCTCGGGGTCCTTGCCGTACAGGATAGAGCATTGTGCAGTCATAGACATCAGTAACAACATACTCTCAGGGGACTTGTCTAGAATCCAAGGTTGGGGGAATTATGTGGAAGTTATTGAACTGAGTTCAAACTCTCTGACTGGGACCTTGCCGAACCAAACTTCTCAGTTTTTAAGGCTGACTACATTCAAGGTATCAAACAACTCATTACATGGTGTGCTTCCAGCAATTTTAGGTACATACCCAGAATTAAAGGTCATTGATCTAAGCCTCAACCACCTTAATGGATCTCTCCTTCCCAGCCTCTTCATGTCAACAAAATTGACTGATCTCAATCTTTCAGGCAACAAATTTACTGGTTCGATACCTCTTCAGGACAAAAGGAACATGCCTTCTGTAATTTCTGCAGAAAATTTTAGCCTGGTGACTCTTGATCTGTCTTATAACTCATTAACGGGCAGCTTGCCCACAGAAATCACCAAGTTCCATAACTTGGAGGTTCTTAATCTATCCAATAACAAACTTGAGGGCAGCATCCCTGATAGTCTTCCTAATGAACTGAAAGGATTCAACGTGTCTTTTAATAATTTCTCTGGTGCTGTTCCTGACAACTTGAGTGGATTTCCCGAGTCATCATTCCATCCCGGAAACTCCTTACTGAAGTTTGGTTCTTTTCCATCGTCACCAAAAGGTTCTTCCAACCTGAATTTGAAGGCTCGTGGGTCTCAGCTGAAACCTGTCACCAGAATTGCCTTGATTGTAGGCTTGGTTGGTGGTGCTGCTATAATAGCACTTGTGTGCGTAATGATTTATTATAGGAACAACTGGCAGGAAACTACAAACGATGGGCTGAAAAGAAACGGCAGCAAAGAAACCGTACATCAAGGAGAGTATTCCCATTCTCATACATCAGCACCTTACAGAAGCAAGGGTTCATCCTCGTCTTCATTTAGTTTCCGTCGAGAGCTTTTGTCATCGACCAAAAAGGGTTCTGCATATGATCAGGGAAACAGTTCATCCGTCTTAAATGACCGTAAATATCTTGGTCATCTCGAGTCCACAAGAAGAGAAGACGGAGCGGCTTCTCCCATGTCTGTCTTGTCATCTTCAAAAGCATCTCCAATAAAAGACCAATTTCCATTTGAGAGTTCGACTGCGCTAAAGGTTCGTTCTCCCGATAAACTAGCTGGGGATCTGCATCTCTTTGATGGATCTCTGACACTGACTGCAGACGAACTTTCATGTTCTCCGGCTGAAATTATTGGAAGGAGTTGCCACGGGACATTGTATAAAGCTACACTTGATTCTGGTAATGTATTGGCTATCAAATGGTTGAAGGAAGGGATAGCAAAAGGTAAAAAGGAATTTGCGAGGGAAGTGAAGAAACTTGGGTACATCAAACACCCAAATTTAGTTTCTCTTCAGGGTTTTTATTGGGGTCCCAAGGAGCATGAGAAGTTGATCATATCAAATTACATCAATGCACGATGTTTGGCGTTCTATCTTCAAGGTAAGATGAGAAACCAATTTTTTGCTATGTTTGGTGAAGTTTCCATGCTGGTCGAATTTCCGGGATCTCGATTTACATTCATATTCTGCATTGTTAATAGTCTTGTGTACACAAAACCGCATATGTATTATCATAGTTTAGGCGCAGCAGAGTTTGAAACGACTTTGTTTTGAGTCTAAATCTGGAGTAATATGCAAGATTGTAAGAAATATTGAAGTAAAGTATATGCGAGATATTTGCTTATATAATGGAAACAACTCTTTTTTAGTTGAACTAAGGCACTGTCTTTCTGTTATATTAGGTCATTTGATTCTGCAGATTGAACTGTATGCAGGAATACTAGCATAAGCCATTAATCTCGAATACTTCCTGCTTTTCTCATGATATATATATATACACACACACACGCACACGGAGTTTGAGTTTCACAACTAATGTTTCTTGAATTCTTCTGCAGACACAGAACAAGGAAAACCGCCGCCCTTGTCTCTGGATGAACGGCTTAGGGTTGCTATAGATGTGGCTCGATGTCTGAACTACCTACACAATGAGAGCGCAATACCCCATGGCAACCTCAAGTCTACAAACATTTTACTAGAAAATCCAAATTTGGCTGCACGCCTCACCGATTACAGTCTCCATCGGATACTGACATCAGCAGGCACAGCTGAACAAGTTCTGAACGCAGGTGCTCTTGGCTATCGCCCCCCTGAGTTTGCTAGCTCAAGCAAACCATGCCCATCCTTAAAAAGTGATGTATATGCCTTCGGGGTCATATTGATGGAGCTTCTAACAGGAAAGAGTTCGGGAGAGATAGTTTCAGGGAGCACGGGTATGGTTGATCTAACCGACTGGGTGAGATTGTTAGCGTCAGAACACCGTGCTAGTGACTGCTTCGATCCTATGATATTGGAAAGGGATAACGTTGAAGACACACAGAGAACGCTTGATGCCATGCTACAGGTAGCTCTGAGATGCATCCTACCAGCACAAGAGAGGCCCGATATGAAATCGGTTTACGAAGATCTCTCTGTCATTGCATTACAGAAAGGTAAACCAAAGGGGTTGTAACCGTGTAGCCAAACTACCAACCCCACATTTATTGGTTCTAGCACTAGTCCGGAATTGATATAGTAAATATCATTCAGATAGGAATAAAGGTTCCATTGTAGATGGTGGGTTAACCATTCTTTTTTAACCCTTCTCTATGAATGTAACTTTAGGTATAGTCTTCATTTGACTCATTCTGTGGAATACAAGCCTTATTATATGGCCCTATGTTTTCTTTACATTTTTTTGATATCTGACGGCAGCCTTTTGCAGCCCATCGAACTTCGTAACCAGATTTATTGGTTCAGCAGGCATGACGTAGAACATCAACCCAGGCTATAAGGTTTAAAAATCTTTGGAATTTGTTCGATCTATTCTCAAAAGGCTTGTTACTCGATTTTGCTCATTGTTCGTTAAACTCGTTGGAATTTCTCTTTTTAATATATGTATATGTAAAATCTAGTTTTTTAATATAAACATAATTTAACAAAAAAATCAAATTTAAACTCCAAACTAATAATTTATAAATATATGTAGACCAAACAAATATATTACAACCGAAATAACAATTCATAAATATATTAAACTAACATTCTACAACAATTATTTTAAAAAAAAAGTATAACTATATATATTCAATCTTACAATTAAGGAAATCAACATCATAAGAGATTATAATAAAAAAAATTATCATATTGGGATAATGTGTATCAAATTAGTGCCCTATCCATGTCCCTCCAATCATATTTGGACACTGTGTATCAAATTATTTCACAGTAAAATATGTTTACTGCTCTAATTAGTGTCGTGTTTCCTTCTCGTTTTGAGTAAATCAACTGAAGAGGGAACTAATGAAGAACATGAATGGTGAAATGTGAGAATCTTGTCATTTTTGTCAACTGCAATTTTGTAAATAAAAAAAACAATATACTTATCCCTCCAAAAAAAAATTAGAAAAGGGGCCCAATGCCAGGTGGCCCACGTTGAATTGTCCAACGCAAAGGAAGACCGAAAATCAGAAGATAAAGGCAATAATGAAGAAACACGTACGCCCATCAGATCATATTATTCGATCTTTTAAAAGCTTCCTGAACTTGTTTTGATAATACACACACACGTGATAACAAAAGCAAGATAAATCCCTTTGATTTATTCATCAACTCTTCAAACCCTTGATTCTTCTATCTCCGTATCCACCCGCAGCAGCAATTCATTCAAATATTATTAACCATTTGATAATAAATATTTAATAATTTTATTATAATAATTGATATTCGAAACCTTAATATCTAAAAATAATAAATACTTTTTAATTACCGAAATAATTTAATTCGTACACTTTCTCTTAATTTTATTTATTCATTCTTATAAAAAAAGCTATTTAAGGAATAAATTGTTCGTTGATCAACATTTTATTTTAACAAAAAATTATTATTAAAAAATAAAATAAAGTTAAACTTATTAAAATTTGAATTGGAATAATTTTATTCGCTAGTGCAGAGATAAGAGCAATTCCTTTAAACCTAATTTGTTTTATTTACAAACGTCAGAGTTCGGACCACTTACCTTGCTTAAAGAATTTAATATATAATCCCACTGGATTAACTAGCTCTTAGTAATAGATTAATTTTTTTAAATAAATACTAACGTAAAAAAGAGAAATGAAACTATTTAAAGAATAAATTATATGTTAATCGAGATTTCATTTTAAGAAAAAATATTATTTAAAAGATAAATGAAATTGAGTTCGTTTAAATTTGAATTAATTTTATCTATAAAAGACATGTTTGCATTACTAATAATTTTTTTTAAAAAATTAAATAAATACTATTTTAAAATTACATATACCAATAAAAACAAGGGTCAATTATGCAATCAGTACCTAAACTATTTGTTTTATTCCATTTTAGTATTGAAACTTTCAATTTTTTCAAAATTATACTTAATGTTTAGTTTTTATTTCATTTTAATATCTTGCAGTTAAAAATTTAACACATTATATCTTTTATGAGTAAATTATATCACTAATCACTCAACTATCTTTTCAATCTTAATTTGTTACTAAAGTTTAATTTTTTTTCAATTTAACTACTCAACTTTCAAGTTGCTCATATTTTAATCACTATAATTTATTTTATTAATATTTTTATGAGATGACATTTTCTATTATTATTTTATTAATATATAACTAAAAAATTAAATTTGAAAGTTAGAGTGATTAAATTATGAGTAATTTGAAAGTTAAGTAATTAAATTAAAAAATTAAACTTTAGTAACCAAAATAGAAGTGAGAATATAATTGAGTGATGAATAATGCAATTTATCCATAAAAATATTCCATGCGCAAATTATTCACTAATTTTTTAATAACAAGATACTAAAACGAAATAAAAACTAAACATTAATTATACTTTAAAAAAAATTAAAAATTAAAAATTAAAATAGATTAAAATAAATAATTTAAATATTAAATACATAATTTACCTAAAAAAACAAATGAAATTAATGCTAGATGGGCCTGTATAAGTCAATAGAAGACTTTAGTAGTTTCACATACTGTACGCAAAGTTGACTCTGTAAAAATATTAACCAATTTAGTCATATAAAGACCAACTCGCCCCAAGGCCAACGTTTTCCTCTTCCTTTTCCCACCGTCTACTGATTTTTACGTTGCTTTTATTTATTTTTTTAGAAAAAGAAAAAGAAAAAAAAGGCATAAAAGGAGAGACCATGTTTTACTCTGCCATTCCCAAAGCCGATTCTCTTTGGAAATTTGGTGGAAGTAGTAGTTGCCAAAATCTTTAACAAGTCCAACCTCCCCCATTTCCATTTCCATCTCATTTCTTCTTTCTTTCTTTCTTTATCATTAAATGCTAGCCCTAACGGAGCAGCTGCAACTAACGTCATCCATGGCGGCACCGATCTGGCTATGGGCTTTCTCTGTGTCGCTGGCTCTGATTCCATCTGCTTTTGGAAACTCCGAGGGAGATGCTCTTTACACGTTGAGAAAAAGTTTAGTGGATCCGGATAACGTGCTCCACAGCTGGGATCCCAACCTTGTTAACCCTTGTACTTGGTTCCACGTTACTTGTAACCAAGATAGTCGAGTTACCCGAGTGTATGCTGATTTCTCTCTCTAGTTTTTTTTTCGTTGGTTTCTTTTATTTGACTTTTTTTTAAGAAACAAAAGAATTAAAATTTTATATTATTTGAATACATGTTAGTTCCTTTGTTTGATAGTTAGTAAATTGGTGGCTTAACTTGGGTATTGGTTTATTTAATTGAATTTGATGTCTATTTTGTAATATGGTTGTGAGAAGCTGTTTTATCATCTGGAGCTTGCGTTTTTTTTTTGGGTGGGTGGGGGTGGGGTTTACTTGCTGGATTTAAACTGAGTTTGGATTCTTTTCTTTATTTTACTCTCATGTTTTTTTGGGTAAATTCTTTAGAAAATTCTTTAGGTATTATAAAAGGCAAATTTGGAGCTTTGTGAAGTTTTTTCATACGGAATATTTGATAGATTTGGCATAGAATACCCTTTATAATGGTTAATTGCGACGTTTGAATCATATTCTAGTTTATAAACAGAATTACTTCACAATTCACATTTTCCTTAACATATTTGTGTTTGTGTCAACGGAAGTTGTACAATTGTCTGCCTGAATTAGAACTATATATGTATTTTGATTTTTGATCTTCTTTTCCCTTTATTATGGAACAAAAGATTGCCTTTTTGCCATGTTGTTTAGTTTTTCCTTTTTGTTTATTCTTCAATTTGGAGCATTATATGTTTTTACTGTTTTGCTTCTGTGGAAGTTTTGAACTAGATGTGCCTATAATCTACATGTCCCTTTGAGAAGAACAGGTTTGTAAGTTATGACATAAAAAGAGATACAAGTGGTTACTTTTTTGTTGGTTTTGATTAAACAGTTTTACAAGTAGGTTTCAATTTGGTAAGAGGCGTACCATTTGCATGCTTTTGAAATCACATACATTTGGAATTATGGGATTTTGACATGCCTTCTCAAATGGTTAGTGGTTTATGTCTTTCGAGAATTCCTTTCTGTCAAAGGAAACATCGGTTTAGGCTGTTATGAGCAGTATCACTTCGCAATTTCTGTAACATGTGTGTTTGAATTGATGGAAGCTTTACCATTGCCTGCCCGAATAAGAACTATACATTTATGTTGATCTTCATTTCCCTTTATTATGGAATAGAAGATTGCCTTTTTGCGTGGTTATTTAGTTTTTGTCTGTTCTTCAATTTGGATCATTAGATATTTTGAGTGTTTGCTCTGGTGGAAGTTTGTAACACAGGACATAAAAAAGAATATACAAGTGGGGTACTTTTTGTTGGTTTTGATTCAACAAATTTCCCTAGTAGTTTCCAAATACAACTTTTTTTTTAGAACTAGCACCTCGGGATTATGGCATTTCGCCATGCCATCTGAAATGGTATTTTTTTTCCCTTTCTTTTTGCAGAGATTTAGGTAATTCCAACCTGTCTGGACATTTGGTACCTGAGCTTGGGAAGCTTGAGCATTTGCAGGAATCTGTATGTTCTTTCCCCTTTAACCTTTGCCCACTTCTGCCCTTAGCGTCTGAATTCTGGAGCTACTGACATATTTGCATGTGCATATTATCTTGTTTATCAATGTTCACTAGATTACACGTTGTCATGCATCAAAAACTTTACTTGCGGTTATCTTCTCTTCCATGCAGGGAACTTTACAAAAACAACATCCAAGGAACCATCCCTGTTGAACTTGGGAACTTGAACAGCCTCATCAGTTTGGACCTATATAACAACATCTCAGGGACCATTCCCCGGTCACTTGGGAAACTGAAGCATCTTGTATTCTTGTGAGTGCTAATGTCCAAGTGTTAATCACTTTATGCTGGAATAGACTATAGTCAAACTTTCATTTCTAGACCTAAGAAAATGAATTACCAGGGCTTAAGTAAATTACAGGTATTAGATAATGGTTGTCCTCTACTGGTTTTCAAAGATTGCCACCATGATCACTCCCTTTCTAGTTATTCTCATGTCACTGACTGCAATGCTGGTAAATTTTTGTTCTTTTTTTTTTTTGCTTATTTTCGTTTAATTTTATAGGCGGCTTAATGACAACAAGTTAACTGGACCTATCCCTAGGGAACTTGGTGGTGTTTCAAGCCTCAAAGTTGTGTAAGGATTGTGACTTTAACTACTATTATATGGATTTTTGAGAAGCCTTAGACTAATGGTCTTTGAAATTTTACCTCTTTTCTTCTAGTGATGTCTCAAACAATGATTTGTGTGGACCAATTCCTACCAGTGGACCATTTGAGCACATTCCTCTAAACAAGTAAGCTTACCCCCTCTCTCTTCTTATATATATATATTTTAAATATTGTTATATTTCATGTCCATTTATTATGATATCAGTTATATGTGCAACCCTTGAAGCTATAAAGGTTAAGCTGGATTTCTAACTCTTTTTATCATTCACATGTGGTAATAATGATAATTTTGATGTTGAGATACATATAAAGACTTTGAAGAGTTTCTCGAGGAATGTTTAAAATTAAAAGTAAATGACTGCATCATTTAAATCCCTTGGAGAAGATGAAGCTCGATTTTATATTTGCGATTCTACTCTATAGATAAGCTGAGGCATATTCCCTTGTTTGTGGCCTTCTGCCATTCTCACTCTTAGTTGTTAATGACAGCTTTGCAGAAAGATACTGTGTTCTTTATACCTTTACCCCACAATGCACATTAACGAGAGTCTCATGGCTAGTATAGCTTCTGTTATTTTATTTTTAGGTGTTCATGATCGACAATCTACCTTCAAGTTTCTACTTTGTCTCTTCTTTGACGGGCCTCGTTGGAATCACTGTTTAATGGACTGTGTCTTATGGTGCACGTTGTTAATATTTTAGAGCTATTTGTTTCTTTTGTTTTCCTTGTGCAACGTCGCTGATCTTCAATATTTTTCCGAAATATGTAGCTTCGAGAAAAACCCTCGCCTGGAAGGTCCCGAGCTTCTGGGGCTCGCAAGTTACGACACAAACTGCTCGTGAAGTACAGGTTGATGTTATAAAGCTTGGAGTTGAATATGTACTCACAAGGTTTTAAGCATATTATCACACGGTATAATGGGGTTTCTTAAACTCTAGGCCTCGTATGTGTAAATCTATATACCAGCTTGACTATATATAGCTCAATCATCCAGCTCTTTCTAAGATGTTAAAGACAACTAGTATTGATGAATGTGATGGCAGCGACAAGTTAATTTGTTGTGTGGTCCTTTGTTTTCATGGCACTATAGAGACATAAGTTTTTCTTTTGGTCATTCGACTATGAAAAGTTGCAAAATGACCACTAATGTTTTTTAATGTCTTTTTTGGTTAGCCTAGTGGCAGCTTTCAAAGTTGGTGTAATAATAAAATAGGCATCAAACAAGAGACAATTTCAATGGGATGAAGAGAGTAGTAAAATATCAAACCAATTGTTTCAATTAATTAAATCAGAAATTAAATCTATTTAATTAAAATTATATTTTTGATATAATTTTTATATATAATTTATTAATCAATTAATTTTGAAAAAATTCTTCGTATTTATACTGCTCAAAGAGAAACATTCAATTGCTACAACATAACCAATAAATACAACAGAAAATCAGAACAAACACAAATAATCAGTTGGGAGATTCCCTACTTATTACAAAGACGAAAACTCATAGAGTCGAATCCAGTAATTTTTCAGCCCTTGAGTCGAATCTGGATCATCTCCTTTATACTCTGCAACACATCAACTGAGTAAAATGTATCCTTGAAGTGTCTATAGTTTCTCCCCTCCCAGATGCTATGAATGTGACAACCCTAAGCAGTAAGCACACTTAAGAATCACAATGAGAAGAGACTTACCCTCAAAATGGGGGAAAAAAACCCAAAACTAATTAATAAAGTCACAGTAAAAAAACATATGGTCCCTTATTTTTATCTGGTTTCCATAGATCGCACACATCTCATTTTATTAATAATTAATAGTTCCATGCTTTAACAAAGTTGTTTTTATATTATTATATATATTCAAACCATTTTATAGGTTCATGCTCTCACAAAATTTCCATTTTTCGAAGTTTTATTAATTAAATTAGAAGAATAAATATTATCTATTTAATAATTAATTTATTAAAACAGTAAATAATTTTTTTATTATATGATTTGTTTATTGAGAGTTTAAAAAGGAAGGCATAAGGTAAATATTGTGAAAAAAATAAAAAATAAAGATTTGTTTTAATTTTTGTGGGGTTAAGGTTATTATTAGTAAAATCTATAGTAATTAGTGGAGTCCTCTTCTTCCGCTCAACTTTCAATAAAATCGTTCTCTTCTGTATAATTAGAAAGTTATATTCAGTTACCAATGAATTTTAAAAAACCACATCGATTATTGACGATTTTAAACATTTTTTTTACATATTTTTAAAAAATTATACTAAATTATTAATAGATTCAAAAGAAATATCAACAATTATCGATGATTTTAAAATTAAATCTTCGATGTCTGAAAAATATATATAAACATGTCGGAACCGTCTTTTTTGTTGACTTACCTCGGAATTGGGCTTCGACTTGGATTGATTGGGTTAGAGTCGCCACCGACCATTTATTAAAAATGGGTTGATCGGATACCTTATTTCTTACCTGATCTGCGTTGTACCAGAAACGCGTCGGGTTCGGGAGTCGGTTACGGTCAAGGAAGGATTAGCACCCTTGAACCACCCTTTCGGTACTACGTAATTTCCAGTTGTCTTTATCAAGAAAGTTGTAATTTTAAATTAAAAGGTAAAATTTGATCCTAAATTACTTACCACTGATTAATTGAATGAAGACCATTAAGAAGAAAACGTTACGTTTGAAGTGGTGAAAATAAATAAGATATAACAACCACAAAACCAATGATACAAATAAGAGGAGACAATACAAATAAACTAATGATAAATAAGATAAATAAAGGAAAAGAAATAATATAAAAAATACACTAAATAAATGTATATATACATATATGCATGAATAGCAAAAACATACAAACAAAGAAATGAAAACTATATAAAAACAAAGGAATACAAATAAAACATGTATTAAATAAAAAGGAAACGCAATAGAATAAAAATAAATAAAGTAAATGAAAAAAAATAAAGAATATACATATAATAATAAAAGAAAACAAAAAAATATATGTTTATATACGCTATCAATAATACCTAAAAATAATAAAATTAACGATGGTTATGTATAGAGATAAATAAAAATAAATAAAAATAAATAAAGTAAATGAAAAAATATAAAGAATATACATATAATAATAAAAGAAAAAAATATATATGTTTATATACGTTATCAATAATACTTAAAATAATAAAATTAACGATGGTTATGTATAGAGATAAATAAAAATAAATAAAAATAAATAAAGTAAATGAAAAAATATAAAGAATATACATATAATAAAAAAATAAAAAAATATATGTTTATATACGCTATCAATAATACTTAAAATAATAAAAATAACGATGGTTATGTATATATATATATATATATATATATATATATATATATAATAAAATAAAATAAAAATATACATAAGATATATATATATATATATAAATAAAGGAATAAAATATAATAATAATGAAAATATAGTATATAATAATAGTAGGGATTAAATTGAAAACGAAATAAACTCAAGGGTCAATTTACAAGGATTTCGGGTTCAATAATCGATTCAGAGGACCAAATTAAATGTTTTTGAAACTGGAGAACCAAAACGCAAATCTCTCGCTTCTTGCAAAAACACGCGGGTCCGAGGAGTTCATCGGGTCGGGCGTAAGGCTGGAACAGGCTTAATATATGACTCAAATAAATTTTTTAGTTTCATTTCTTTCTTCAGAAATCAAAAGCCCTCGTCTCCTTCTCTCATTTCTCTATCGCCTGTTCTTCATATATGAAGAACACGACGGATTTCCAGAAAAAGGCCATCAGCCGCCCCCCACGCCGCCTCGCCGCCGCCGTTCATCGGCGGCAAAAACAAAAAAAAAGTTTCTTTTTTTCGAAAGCTGTTCACCCCCTTGTTCCAAAAACAGAGTTTGTTTCTTAGAAAAATCGGCCTCGGAAGTTAGATCTATGAAAATAGATCTCGAATGTGCCTCGGTTCATCGGCCAGAAATCATTTTATTTGATGCTTTTCGAACCAAAAACAAAGAGAAGGAAGTACAAAGTAGACATGCAAGCCTGAAAATCGCGCAAAGGTGAGTTCCTTACCTTTAACTTTTCTTTGAAATTTTTGCAGAGGAAAGAAAATTTCGAATGCTCTGAGTATTTGGATGTGATTTGCTAGTAACTTTTCTTGTATTCCGTATCAAAAAAAAATCCCCATTCGTAGTGTTACAAATGGATCTATTTATACTGAAAAACTAACTATTTTTTAGACTCCTATTTAAAATATAACTCTAATGCGTTGTTGTTTGTTGATGATGGTTGTATCGTTTGTCGTATGTTTCGGGGTTGGAGTCCCATATATCCACGAAGGTGGTTTATTGCCGAGAAGTACGGGGGAGAGGCGTGAACATTGAAGACTCGTGAGGCATGGGGTCTTCGCGCGGCTGGAAACAAGGGATGCGGCGTTAGGGTTTGGTTTGATTACCAAACGAGTCTTCTGCTGGACCATCTGGGTTCCTGGGCCACGTGTATCTGTAATAAATCTTGGGCCACCTGTGAAATGTAACATAAATAATGAATAAATGAAAATATAAATTTATAATAATAAAAACAATATTATAAAATATAATATTAATCGATCGAAATTCAGTGTCTTCAGCTGCCCCTCTTTGCTCATTATCGTGTAACGACAATAGAGCAAAGACTAAAAGACATAAATTTCGGTCATATTGAATATCATCTGTCGTAGAGTTGAACTTCGATATGGGAATTGGTTTGTCAATCACGAAATGACCCCCTCGTCATGAGGTTGAGTCAAAACGGGAAAATTTTGATTACGATATTATTCGTTGCGAAGTTGAAATCAAACTCAAAGCTTTTTGGCAAATGATTCCGGGATCTTCCTCTGGCTCAAGATACTTCGTTTTGAAGGTGAAACTTGTCCTGAAGACTTCGGTGCTGATGTGTTGCAAATGATTCCTCCGTCGTAAGGTTGGGTCAACCTGTTTGTGAAGTTGGAATCGTATATGGCTCCTTCGTCGTGAAGTTGAGCCATGGATTTGAATATCCTTCATCGTGAAGTTTAGATCCAAGTAAGTTGTGCTGTTTCGAGGCCAATATCTTTCGCTATGAAGTTGAAATTGGCTCCGAAATTGGGAAATTATTTGTTGACAACCAGCGGTCCCTTCGTTGTGAAGTTGAACTTGCGTTGTCTAGAGTCCAATATCCTTCGTTGTGAAGTTGAAATTGGCTCTGAATTTGAGAAATGTTTGTTGACAACCAGCGGTCCCTTCGTCGTGAAGTTGAACTTGCGTTGTCTGGAGTCCAATATCCTTCGTTGTGAAGTTGAAATTGGCTCTGAATTTGAGAAATGTTTGTTGACAACCAGCGGTCCCTTCGTCGTGAAGTTGAACTTGCGTTGTCTGGAGTCCAATATCCTTCGTTGTGAAGTTGAAATTGACTCTGAATCTAAGAAATATTTGTTGACAACCAGCGGTCCCTTCGCCGTGAAGTTGAACTTGCGTTGTCTGGAGTCCAATATCCTTCGTTGTGAAGTTGAAATTGACTCTGAATCTGAGAAATGTTTGTTGACAACCAGCGATCCCTTCGTCGTGAAGTTGAACTTGCGTTGTCTGGAGTCTAATATCCTTCGTTGTGAAGTTGAAATTGACTCTGAATCTGAGAAATGTTTATTGACAACCAGCGGTCCCTTCATCGTGAAGTTGAACTTGCGTTGTCTGGAGTCCAATATCCTTCGTTGTGAAGTTGAAATTGGCTCTGGGTAAAACCTGCAAAGATATGCATATATGTGATGTTATGGATGTCATGCTCTTAGATATGCCTAAAATGCATATGCAACATATGTTATTCTGAGCTCTAGAGAGTAATCTCGATCTCCGGTGGCCTGTCGTTGTTGACTCTTGATTTTGAAAGC